CACTCACACGCTCACTCACTCACTCACTCACTCACACGCTCACTCACTCACTCACTCACGCTCACCCACTCACTCACTCACGCTCACCCACTCACTCACTCACGCTCACCCACTCACTCACTCACGCTCACCCACTCACTCACTCACTCACACGCTTACTCACTCACGCTCACCCACTCACTCACTCACTCACACGCTTACTCACTCACTCACACGCTCACTCACACGCTCACTCACTCACTCACGCTCACTCACACGCTCACTCACTCACTCATGCTAACTCCCTCTCTCACTCACTCACACGCTAACCCCCTCACTCACGCTAACTCCCTCACTTACACTCACTCACTCACTCATTCACGCTCTCTCACTCTCTCGCGCTCACTCACTCTCTCGCGCTCACTCACTCTCTCACGCTCACTTACTCACTCCCTCACGCTCACTCACTCACTCCCTCACGCTCACTCACTCACTCACTCACTCCCTCACGCTCACTCTCTTACTCCCTCACTCACGCTCACTCACTCACTCACTCACTCCCTCACGCTCACTCTCTTACTCCCTCACTCACGCTCACTCACTCACGCTCACTCACTCACTCCCTCACGCTCACTCACTCACTCCCTCACGCTCACTCTCTTACTCCCTCACTCACGCTCACTCACTCACGCTCACTCACATGCTCACTCACTCACTCATGCTCACATGCTCACTCGCTCACTCACATGCTCACTCACATACTCACTCGCATGCTCACTCGCTCACTCACATACTCGCATGCTCACTCGCTCTCACGGTCACTTACTCCCACTCTCATTCACACTCACTCACTCGCTCACTCACACGCTCACTCACACGCTCACTTGCTCACACACGCTCACTCACACGCTCACTTGCTCACACACGCTCACTCACACGCTCACTTGCTCACTCGCTCGCTCACTCACTCACATGCTCACTCACTCTCATGCTCACTCACTTACATGCTCACTCACTCACATGCTCACTCACTCACATGCTCACTCACTCAACTTGCTCATGCGCTCTCACTCTCTCACTCGCACACTCGCTCTCTCACTCACTCGCTCTCTCAATCATTCACGCACTCACTCATTCACTCACTCATTCGCTCATTCACTCACTCGCTCATTCACTCACTCGCTCATTCACTCACTCGCTCATTCACTCACTCACTCACCCATCCATGCTCGCTCACACGCTCACTCATTCATTCATTCACACTAACTAACTCACGCTCGCTCGCTCACTCACTCACTCACTTAGGCTCACTCACTCACTTAGGCTCACTCACTCACTTAGGCTCACTCACACACTTAGACTCACTCACTCACTTAGGCTCACTCACTCACTTAGGCTCACCCACTCACTCAGGCTCACCCACTCACTCAGGCTCACCCACTCACTCAGGCTCACTCACGCTCACTCGTTCATTCATTCACACTAACTCACGCTCGCTCGCTCGCTCACTCACTCACTCACTCACTCACTCACTCACTTACTCACTCACTTAGGCTCACCCACTCACTCAGGCTCACCCACTCACTCAGGCTCACCCACTCACGAAGGCTCACCCACTCACGAAGGCTCACTCACTCACTCAGGCTCACCCACTCACTCAGGCTCACCCACTCACTCAGGCTCACCCACTCACTCAGGCTCACCCACTCACTCAGGCTCACTCACTCATTCAGGCCCACTCACTCACATGCTCGCTTGCTCATTCACTCACTCACTCACACGCTCACTCACTCACACGCTCACTCACTCACTCACTCACACGCTCCCTCATTCACTCACTCACACGCTCCCTCATTCACCCACACGCCCACTCGCTCGCCTACTCACGCTCACTCACACGCTCCCTCATTCACCCTCACGCTCACTCACTCACCCTCACACTCATATGCACACTCGCCCAAACGCTCGCTCACTCACTCACTCACTCACTCACTCACTCACTCACTCACTCGTTCACTCACTCCTACTCACTCGCTCACTCACCCCGCTCACTCGCTCACTCACCCCGGCTCACTCGCTCACTCACCCCGGCTCACTCGCTCACTCACTCCGGCTCACTCGCTCACTCACTCATTCCCTCACTCACGCGCTCGCTCACTCACATACACACTCACTCACTCATTCACACGCTTACTCACTCCCTAACTCACGCTCCCTCATTCACCCTCACGCTCGCTCACTCACACGCTTATTCACTCGCCCCCCTCATTCACCCTCACTCACTCACTCACGCTCACTCATTCACTCACTCACATGCTCACTCGCTCACTCACTCACATGCTCACTCGCTCACTCACTCACATGCTCACTCGCTCACTCACTCACTCACATGCTCACTTACTCGCTCATTTATTCACTCACGCACATTCACTTGTTCACTCTCTCTCCCTCTCCCTCCCTTTCTCGCCCTCCCTCTCTCTCTCCCTCCCTTTCTCTCTCCCTCCCTTTCTCTCTCCCTCCC